CCATTGGCTTGAAAATTTACAATAAAAAAGAAAGTTTGCCATGCTTGTTTTATTAAGAGGGCATAGTTCATTTTGCAGAAGTTGGAAGCAAGGGTTTTTAAAGTATGGAATGATAGAGAACAATTTGATATATAATTTGTGGAAAAATCACGATTTTAAACAACATTGTCTTGAAAGATTTCTCAAATCATCTATGTCAAGGTCATAATTTGCATCAAATAATTGGCTTGATGGGCAATGCAATTCTAAGGAATCACCTGAAATGACTTATCATGCCTGTATAGCTTGTATTTAGTCATATCACTGATTGTTCTATTGTACTTAACCCTTTCACTCCCAGTGATGACCAAATTTGAATTTCTCCTAACAGTTCCAATGAAGTTTCAGGCAAAAGGTTGTTGAGAAGAAAGAAACATGTCAATTAGCAGACACCCTCTGATTTGACACTAAATTCTCTGAGTGAAAATGTTTTGAAATGTAGGGCAGACAGTGTGGAGAATTGAAATTTAGATCTGAGGAGTGAAAGGGGGAGTGGTTGCCAGACCCTTCATGATTAAAAATTGTCAAACACCTAAGCTCACTTCATATGCTTTACCTCTCAGCTGCTGCACCAGAACTTTTAGAAATGCATTAAGTATTAATTACGTGTTTTTGTTATTTCTTTTTTCTAGGTAGAAAGACTTAATGTGTTGTTTGAGTATGTGGTACTTGCGAAGGACTTTTTAAGGACAATGTAACCAATGGATCCACTAAAACTAGTTTAAATATATGGCCAGAAATACAAAACTATTTTTGCTAGTTATCTATTGGAGGGCAGTCATCACAGAACTTTTTCTTAAAAATACTTTGTAAATGTTGAGAACCAACATTTTGTGTTACAAATTTTGTATATTCAGGACCTTAAAAGTCAAATTTGTGTTCTATAAAATTATCATGATCACAGTGATTTTTCAAATAATTTTCTGTCAATGATAGGTTCAGAGCTTGAGTCAAAAGTTGGCCCCTTCATGATGTTTGGATTGTTTTTCTGGTGGAAGCAAACATTCATTTGGGCTTTGGGATGCAGGCCTTGTTATAAGTTCATAAGTCAAGTTCAGCCTTTGTGTGATGGACCTTGTGCTAGGGGTTGCAAGTCAAAGTTTTTCTTTTGTTTAACTGTTCAGTAATAGATCACAGATGGTGTCAAAATGTGTCAAGGACAAGAAAAGTGGCACATGAGGTGCATAAAAATAATTGATAAAATCTGTTATTAAAAATATTAACCGAGAGGCCAGACAAATTTTCCCAGGCAGGGACTGTAGGTGTTTTCATGCAATTATCAGAATATATAGCTACTTCAGAAATCTTTGACAGGGAACTTAAGCTTTCTTGGGAAAGTGTGAAAGCTGTATTTATAGTTGAAAGAACTCAAGACCTGTAGGTTAAAGTAGATGGGACAGTTAAAAATGTGCTTGAATCTATTATTTCCCACTTTGGGGAAGTCTTACTTAAGTTGGATAAGCAGCCTTTGTGTGATGGAACTTTAGCTAGAGGTAGCAACAACTCTTCACTGTAACAGAATTCTTATAAAATGGACATACTCTGTGAGTGATAATGGGAGATGTGGTTGTAATGGTTATGCTGAAGAACTTTTTGTTGCACAATGTCTACACCAGGTCTCTGATTCCATGTATCCAGCATGGTACTAATCATGTTTGGAACAACTGAATCCAGAAAATTTTATGTCCAGCTTACATAGCACAGCTTTTTGTTTGAGTTCTGATGCAATGCCAACAGGGAGAACAAACTCTCCTGTCACCATAACACAACTATATTATGCCTAGTTATTTAAATAATTTATTAGTTAGAAATTCAGAAATTCATAATCAAGCCACTAGACATTCAAATATAAGTCTGATGTGCCCTAAGGATAAACGAAAATCAGAAGGAGGTCATACTTTCACTATTAGGACTATAAAGGACAGGAATTGTATGAATGCTAATATAAGAAATAATGGCTCGCTTGCAAGTTTTAAGCACCATGTTTTTAAATCCTTTCTAGCTGAACAAAAGGCTGCAATGTGCCTTAGACCGTAATTTTGTATATATGAATTATTTCTTATATTTTATCTTTTTAATATGGTATATATTATTGTTATTAGTTGTAGCATCTATATTTTGTAATTGTTTGAGGGCCACAGAGTCATCAGTGTCTTTGGGCTACTGTTAAGTGTTTGTTACCCTCTCTAAATAAAGCCTATTATTATTATTATTATTATTATTATTATTATTATTGTTATTATTACCATAGATTATCTAGTTTAGAAAAAACGGATAATGGTTAACATAAGACTTTGTCTTAAAGTGATTCCTCAGAAAAAAAAAAGTTATCAAACAATTTTTTTAAACTTTCCTTAAATGTTCCCTCTCATTGTTTGTTTTGAAAAATACAATAAAAGAGATAGTTCAGTGTGCTTGTTTAATTAACTCTTTAACTCCTAAGAGTGACTAGCATCTAATTTCTCCTTACAATATCACCCCTGAATCATGCAGTAAGGTCATGAGAATAACGAAAATTATCAGCATCAAAAGAGGCTGTTGATTGTTAAACAAATTCTCCTTGTCAGTACCTTAGGAAATGTTTGGGGAACAGTATGGAGAATACCTTAACTGATATTAGGGTATAAAAGGTTAAGAGGTACCGTGCTCTCTCAAGAGCTAAAGACCATGGTACCTCTTTTTCATTTGTTGAAAAACAACAACGTGTTTTAAGAATGCACGCGCTTATTTGCTTATTTATTGGTTTATGTGAGGTTTATGCACAGTACAGTACAGGCATGGAGAATTTGTTTACCGATCAAGAGTTTCTTTAGTCGGTGATCATTTCCTTTGTTCTCGTGACTTAAATGTGTGATTCAGGGGTAATAATTGTGATGAGAAATTAGATGCTTATGCATGTTTTCGCCGGTTAACGAAGCCAGACGGTTGCACTAGTCGGTGAAAGTATTGACGTATGAATTGGTGACATCTTGGAATGGCTATAATCAGCATGGTTAGATTTTCTGAGAAGCACTTTGACTCTTTCCTAAGAGTGACTTGTATCTAATTTGCCCTTACTAACAGTAAAACTGCTGAATCATTCATTAACCCTTTAACTCCCACGAGTGACCAAGACCGAATTTCTCCAAGCAATATCAATACAATATCAATCAGACAGGTGATGAAAATGTATAAAAGTGTGAGTTTGACTTATTTCATTCGAATTCCTGGGTGGGTAGTGTCCCTGTAGATCAGTGATGACGTCGTTGTTCAGCGGCGAGTGACGTAGTTGTTCATCACTTGCCGGCCGGGTGGTCCAATGTTTACATAGGTGTGTTTGCATATTCTGCTTCCATTTCGTGTTCATTACGCCGGTAGTTAGTTAAGCCGGTTATCTCACTGGTCATGCGCAGTTTCCAAGAGATTGAACTTGCGTTAACTGACAAGGATGGCTTTAGTAAGCGTCCAAATCGTCCTCGGCCATTCAAAGCTAACTTGCTAGGAGGGGATTATATTTTTAAAGAAAGGTCTTCTTTATGAATTTTGTCTTATTTGGTATTTTTCCTTTTTCCTTTACGATTCTTTTAATCATTTAGCTGTCGGATTGTGACCCAAAAAGTAGAGAGAGGTGCTTGTTTTTCTCAGACAAACGCTTCTCTTTGCAATAAAATCAGGAGCGGAAGTCAGTGGCGAAGGTGTACTCAAAAAAATTGATAAAATTCAACACAAGTTATAAGCTTGAGGTCATGATAGTTAGGATGGAGCTACACAGGGAATCATTGTCAATGTTCAAGGTTGGAGGAAAGAAAGTTCACGAACAACACGACAACCCAAGTAGTCTTTCTGGGAACACAAATAACTTGTTCTCTTCTGGCATTAAGAATATTCTCATGAACGCTGGATTACCAAGAGATACATGTGATGAATTGTTGTCTTTTCATCATGGCTCGGCTCAACTAGTTACTCATTTGGCTTTGCTGTTTTCTTTTTCCCTTTTCTCAGTATTACTATGAATGCGCGTTGACTTAATGATGTGGAGAAATAAATTAAAACATGCAGTGGCAAATGGCTCGAGACATCACACGACTGTCAGTTTTAGACGTTATAAGTCAGCAATCTAAAAAAAAAGTGTTATCGAAACTTGATATGGAATTAGTCTTGTTTTAGAGTCTGAAACACGGAAAACAAATTCATTTTCAGAATTTTTCAGTTTCGGCACATATTGTCAAACTAAGCTTTACTTGATGTTCCACACAAATAGAGAAATTTCTCTCATTATCAGATCAGTTTGTGCACGTGTAAACATTTTCACCCGGTATGCAAGTAAGTAACTGTAAGTAAGACGGGTTTTCGAGCTTGTCCTCTCAGTGCTTGGCTACGTTGAAGTTTGAATCGGGAATCACGCGTCGAAACAAAAACTTGACGGTTCTGAATAGCGTAATGATTTTTACAAAGCAACTAGACAAAAATAATGACATTCAGTTCTCACAGCTACATCAGCTCTGGCAGCTATATAAAATTTTCTAGTTTTGATTGTAGCAGATTCATTCCGGCCCTGGACTGATAGTGCCAATTACCATGACCACCAATCGAACTGAGGTATTTTGGTCCTCTCCAGATGTATTAATAAAGAAACAAAGCTATACTCAGCTTCGAAAATGAAGGTAAAATATATTGCTTTTGATTGGTTGCAAGCAACGTGATTAAACCGAAAGATCAGGATTTCCCTTGGTATAAAAATCGTCTACATGGCCACTGCCAAGAGATTGTGAACTTCTTCTTTTGTCAGCTCTCTTTCGACGAATATTAATCTGGAAATTTTAACGCAAAAGATTACAGCCATGGTTCCAAACTGCTGAAGGGACTTTTGACCATGTATTCCACCTGAGTGTGACATCTGGTAACTAGTCACCCCGACTTCCGCTGTCAACTAAAATCTAAAGACTTTGCAGACCACGTTAGCGAAACCGAACATTTAAACTTTTCTCTTCTCGGAAAATCTTCAAAATGGCCGCAATGAAAAGAGGTTTACCTTCTCTGGAAAGGTATTTTTCGACGGAGTTGGAAACCTTACATGCAAACGATCCAAGCCATGGCTGTAATCTGCTGAAGGGGCTTTTGACCATGTACAAAGATGGCAGATATTCTGATGTCACTTTAAAGATTAGTGAAGACCGACGGCTTTCAGTTCATCGTGTTGTTCTGGCCTCTTTTAGTCCTTACTTTGAAGCCTTGTTCGGGAAAAACTGGGACGATGGAGAGAAAAAAGAGATAGAAGTTCTTGGCTTTGACGAGAATGCTGTCAGCGATTTGATCGAATTCGCATATTCGGGCAAAATTGACATCAGCAAAGACAATGTGCAAACTTTGCTCGAGGTATCCAATTATTTGCAGGTGGAGTTTGTCAAGGAATCGTGCGGAGATTTTCTGAAAGGTGCAATTAATGATAAAACTTGTCCTAGCATCTGGCAGCTTGCTGATTTGTTTGCGCTGGAACAGCTAATGAAGGAGGCTAAAAAGCACTTTTTGCTGCATTTTACCAAAGTCACTCGGATGGAAGAGTTTTTGTCGCTTCCAATTGGTTTCCTGAAAGAGATTCTTGCTGATGAAGGTATTTGCGTGGTTATCGAGAGCCTGATTCCGTCCAAAGAGGAAAGGGAAAAGGTCGTGTTGGAAGCTGTTTTCAAGTATGTTGAGCATGATATCGACAACCGAAAAAGACATTTTCCAGAATTGTTATCCTTGGTACGACTCCCAACTTTATCAGAGTCTTATCTGGAAGAAATCTCAGAACATAAACTTATTGCAGACTCCAGCAGAGGAAGCATTTCAAAGGCTCGGAAGCTAAAAACTGATTCCCCCGAGAAAGATTCAGCCGATGAAATATGGGCGACCACTCGGGCGTTTGCCAAACCTACCGTCAGTTGGGGGTGTTCCTTTGCCACTGGTGGCTACGTACATCCTGAAACATCACATCACAACAACAAAGAGGCTGCTGAAGATCTTGGCAGTGACGTCTTCATAAAGGGAATGAAACTTTGGATTCGACGCTGGTATGGGACGCCTGTCCTGGGAGGGCTGAAGATTTTTTTTAATCATGATGGTGACCGAGAGATTATGATGGGAAGTGACTCTGATCTGTCCGAACACCATGAATTTCACTTGGAAAAAAATGAAAGGATCGTCAAAGTTGATGTTAATTCTGGATGGATGATTGACCGCCTCTCCTTTTACACTAACAAGAAAGATGAAAATGGTGATCCTAAATGTTATGGTCCTTATGGAGGGGATGGTGGAGGATTCTACACTGAGACTCCACCAGGGTCGTATGGTTTCCTGGCCGGAATTAGTGCTGCTGTTGTTTACTCACAGGGTGAAGAAGGTATCACCAGACTTCAGTTTGCATGGAGGGCATTTTGATGACAATATATCATTTAAGTAGCCTCGTGATTTTTACTGTGATTCTAAAAATGGACGAATTAATTTAGAACATATACCATAATTTTTTCTGTTGTTACCTGACTGAATACAAAATGAATTTATTTTCCATTTTTCATTGTAATAACTTATCTGCCCACCAAATTAAGCACTGATTCGAGAGAAGAGATTCAATATCAATTTGTGTACTTTATATGTGATTGGTTACATGATACAAAGTGTGGCCATTAAAGGGTAACTGACGAACTGATGGCTAAAAGGTCACTTTTTCGGAATACCGTCTAAATGCCTCAGGTAACACGTAGAAACAGATACAAGAAGCTTCTTTGAGTTTTTTTTTCCCGCCGGGAAAACTGTCCTAAATGCAGGTAATTTAGTGTTAACAACTGAGTTGAAAACGTAAATTAGCCACTGTAAAGGGTAAAAAAGCTGACGTTTCGAGCGTTAGCCCTTCGTCAATCGCAATGAAAAATACTTTGTGAATGTTGAGAACCGACATTTTGTGATAGAAATTTTGTGTATTCAGGACCTTAAAAGTCAAATTCTGTTTGTTTGTGTTCTATCAAATTATGATTATCACAGTGATTTTTCAAATAATTTTCTATTGATGATAGGTTCAGAGCTTAAGTCAAAAGCTAGCCCCTTGACAACGTTTGGGTTGTTTTCCTGGTGGAAGCAAACATTCATTTGGGCTTTGCAATACAGGCCTTGGTATAAGTTCATAAGTCAAATTCAGCCTTTGTGTGATGGACTTTGCGCTAGGGGTAGTAAGTCAGAGTTTTTCTTCTGTTTATCTGTTCAGTAATAGATCACAGATGGTGTTAAAATGTGTCAAGGACAAAAGAAGGTGGCACATGAGGTGCATAAAAATCATTTGATAAAATCTATTATTAAAAAAATTACACTGACCAGCGAGACAAATTTTCCCGGGATGGTACTGTGGGTGTTTTCATGCAATTATCAGAATACATAGCTACTTTAGAAGTCTTTGACAGGGAACTTAAGCTTTCTTGGAAAGTGTGAAAGCTGTATTTATAGTTGAAAGAACTCAAGACCTGTAATTAAAATAGATGGGACTGTTAAAAATGTGCTTGAATCTATTATTTACCTCTTTGAGGAAGTCTTACTTAGATTGGATAAGCAGCCTTTGTATGATGGAACTTTAGCTAGGGGTAGCAACAGCTCTTTACTGTAGCAGAATTCTTTTAACATGGACATACTCTGTGTGTGCTAAGGAGAGGTGTAGTTGTAAGGGTTATGCTGAAGAACTTTTTGTTGCACAATGTCTACACCAGGTCTCTGATTCCATGTATCCAGCATGGTACTATAATAATGATGATGATAATAATAATAATAATAATAATAATAATAATAATAATAATAATAATATTTAACAAGGGAGCCCAACTCACCACAGCAGTTTTAAGTGGGGCCCTCATTAACTAATTAATTCAATTAATTACCCTAATTGATAAAATAATAATGATAATAATAATGATAATAATAATAAATAAATAAATAAAATAAAATGAAATGTTTATAAATAAATTTAAAGAGTCAAAATCTTATAATTGATAACTAATTAAAATATCAAAGTTTAAAATTAATCAAAATCTTTTAAAAAAGTTTTCAGCTTGGATTTAAAAATAGATAAGAGATGTGTTTCTTTCAGATCAGTTGGAAGACTGTTCCAGTCGTTCGCAGCTTGATTGGTAAATGTTTGTTTACCCCAGTTAGTTCGAGGAAGGGGTAAACAAAGATCATTGGAACGTCTTGTGCTATATGAATGGACAGCTTGTTTTTGATAAAATTAAAGTTAAAATCAGTTTCCCTAATCGACACTTGCGGATTGCAATGTAGCAATGAAAAAACCTTCTGATTATGTTCCGAACAACTTAGTTCAAAAAATTTTATGTCCAGCTTACGTACCACAGCTTTTTGTTTGTTCAGATGCAATGCCAGCAGGGAGGACAAACTCTCCAGTCACCATTGATAGTAACTAGTTTAGAAAAAAAAGATAATGTTAACATAAGACTTTGTCTTAAAGTGATTCCTCAGAAAAAAAAAGTTATCAAACGATTTTTTTAAACTTTCCTTAAATGTTCTCTCGCATTGTCTTTTTTGAAAAATACAATTAAAAAGATAGTTCAGTGTGCTTGTTTAATTAACTCTTTAACTCCTAAGAGTGACTAGCATCTAATTTCTCTTTACAATATCACCCCTGAATCATGCAATATCATCATCATCATCATCATCATATTTTTATTTGCCTTATTTACATAATACAAAAAAAAAATTTATTTACAGCGGTTATAGCTAGAAGGCGAGGAGACCCAGGAAGCCACCGGGCTTATGGGAGAGCCACCTCACTTACATTAATAAATAAAGTAAAGAAAAAGTGCTGCGAATGTGCGGCTAGGCCAACTCAAGGATTATTTAAGTAAAAACTCTTGCATTTTCGTCTTAAAACTAAGAAGGTTTGACGAACGAGTGACTGAAACAGGAAGAGAGTTCCAAATTTTAGGACCTTGGTAAAGAATTGTAAATTGCTTGAGATTTGTACGGCACAAATGCGTTCGATAATTACTGGCTGTTCTGGTACCATAGTTGTGAATTTGGCTATTCGTTACAAAAAGATTGAGAAGCAATGGAGGCAATAAGTTATTTCTATAATAAAACATGAATTTGGCGATTTCAAACGTATTGACTTGGAAAATATCTAAAATTCCTAGTTTGGAGAATAAAGGAGCGGAATGGGCTCGATAGTCTGAGTTGGTGATAGCCCGCACAGCTCGCTTTTGCAAGTCGTAAATTCTATTTAAGTTAGATACGTATGTGGACGACCAGGCACAGTTACAATAGACGATATAAGGATAAATTAAGGTGTAGTACAAAGTGAGCTTGGTTGTAGAGGATAAGAAAAAGCGAGACATGCATTGGGATACCTATTGATTTAGCGATTTGTTTACATACATAGCTGATATGGTGTTTCCAAGTGAGATGATCATCAATATAGACCCCAAGGAATTTAGTTACGTTAGATTGTTGTAGGGGTTTACCTCCAAAGGAGAGAGAAATGCTAGAGTTAAATTTCTTCTGTCTGGGTTTAAAAATTACGTAGTTAGTTTTCCTTATATTAACTGAGAGCTTATTGCATTTTAGTCAGACATCAATATTTTGGAGTTCATCATTAAGTACGGATTCTAAGCAATTTGGGTTTGAGTGAGAATAAAAGATGCTGGTGTCATCAGCGAAAAGCAGAGGGTCTGTTAATTCAGAGGCATTAGGGAGGTCATTTATGTATAGAATGAACATTAGAGGGCCTAAAATCGAACCTTGAGGGACACCACACTTGATGGTTTGCATAGGAGAGCAAGCTTGATTGAATTGGGCAAATTGCTGGCGGCAAGAAAAGTAGCTTTTGAACCACTGCAGAGCCACGTCACGGATACCATAGTGCTCCAATTTCGCAAACAAGATATGATGGTCGAGAGTGTCAAATGCTTTGGAAAGATCTAGGAAAACACCCACCGTTGTTTCGTGTTGGTCGATTGCAGAAGCTATTTTATTTACCAAATGAATTAGTGCGTGCGATGTCGAGTGATTTTTCCGAAATCCAAACTGACAGCGGTAAAGTATATCGTGTTTTTCGGCAAATTCTACCAAGCGATTGTACATGACTTTTTCGAAAAATTTGGAAAAATTAGACAACAAAGAAATAGGTCTGTAGTTTACAAAAAAGTTAGGATCCTCTGCTTTGAAGATGGGAATAATTTTAGCGATTTTAAGTTTGTCCGGGAAAATGCCTTTTAGCAGAGATAGATTGATAATATCTGCCAATGGAGCAGAAATAAGGTGAAATCAATATTTAATGACATGCATTGGGATACTGTCATAGCCACGAGCCTTCTTTGAAGCGAACATGTCACAAATGCTTTCCAGTTCACTTGTTGTGGTGGGCTTTAAGTTTATGGAGGAACGGATATTATCACCAAGATAAGAACGAAAAGAAGGATTCACCTTGGGTATAGATTTAGCTAGGTTGGGACCAATGTTTGTAAAGTATTTACAGAATCTGTCAGCGATCTCTATTGGATCCGTTAATGTTCTGCCTTCAGATTTGAATGATGTGGGAAGAGATGACTTACTTTTACGCTTGTTGATAACTTCATTTAACAATTTCCAAGTTGTTTTGAGGTCATTTCTGGCATTCTCAAATTTGGAGTCGTAGTATTTACGTTTGGCAATGCGAATAAGATGGGTGAGTTTGTTTTTGTAGGCTTTATACTTCATCGCAGAAGATGTGGAAGATGATGTGACGAACTTTTTGTAGAGTCTGTTCTTCTTGTTAACGGATTTCAGAAGTCCACGGCTAAGCCATGGAGAAAAGAACTTGTTTACCTGCTTACCTTTGAGAACCTTTAAAGGGAAACAGGTGTTATAGATTCTGGAGTATCCTTCAATAAAATCATTATAGGCTTCATTGGGATCTTCCATGTGGCGAAATAAGGATCATTTTGCGTTTGAAAGGTTCTCGTTGAATTTATGCAAATTATCGTCATTGAATGTGCGCATCATGGTAAGGCCATGAGAGTAAGGAAAATTATCAGCATCAAAAGAAGCTGTTGATTGTTACACAAATTCTTCTTGTCAGTACCTTACGGGATGTATGGGGAACAGTATGGAGAATACCTTTACTGATATTAAGGTGTAGAAGGTTAAGAGGTATGATGGACACTAATCATGTGCATTATTTCATCAGTTCACGGTACATTTTACGGTAGCTGGAGGCAAGGGTTTTTAAAGTATGAAATGATATGAAACAATTTGATATATAATTTGTGGAAAAATCGCACAATTATGAACAACATTGACTCTAAAAGTTCCTCAAATCGTCGCTGTCAAAGTCATAATTTGCATCAAGTAACATGCTTCGTGCACGCTTTTAGCTATATCTCTTTTTCACAGCATTATTCATGGTTGCTGCAAGTTTAGGGAAAACTCAGGGATATAAAAATTTCCTCAAGGTCAGGGAATATACATCTTTGAAAGAATTCTGGGAACATTTGAAGTAATTATCTTGCATTTTAATTGGACCCTTCATGATTATGTTACGTTTACAAAAATTGAGAGATAATATATACCCAACTTCTTCTGAAAGTTCTTATCCATAACTCTAGCTGTATGCATGTTTAACAGTCTGCTTTGATGATAATCACTTCTTTCTATAGAAAGAAGTGATTATCACCAAAGCAGACTGTTAAACATTCAGTTTACAAGAATGAAAAAAATATATGCCCAACTTGTTATAATGATTAGCTATATATCATTATAAGAAGTTGGGCATATATTTTTTGCATGATGCACAGTGATTGGTTGCTGTCACATTCTGTACTAAATAAAATGATGAATACTACAGAAAGAGAGACCTGTTGTTAAGCTACTCTTCTTAACAAGATCCTCAAGGGTCTCTGCAAAAAATAAGCATGCAATGTACTTTGCAGCCAGTTTGTGATGAAACCACTAGGAGACACAATTGATCTTGATGGCAGTTACATTATGCATTCCTCCATGATAAAAAGACTAAAAGACTAAAACTTAGTCCTAACTTATTCTCTTGAAGATACTAGTAAATTTGAAAATCCTAATAAAAGCCCCTACAATTTGAAAATCCTAAAAAATCCCCTACAATGTATCTTCAGTGCTCTTGCTTTCAGTGCTTCCTAATGATCACAACAGAGACAAAGCTGGAATAAATTGGGTAAAACTGACATGATCTTGTTACTGTTGGCCAAACAATTTGTCAACTAGAGATTCTTACATCAATCACTGTGTAACAGCTTGACAACTAATCTTCCATGGGCAGCATGCATGAAATGAAAAGATGATAATTATAAGTATAATTCACCAAATTTATCATCTGACTTCTGACTTTGTTGATTTGGTTGCTAATATTTGAAGTAAGTATATGTTTTCATCAGTTTAAACTTCTCTTACCTATTTTTCAATAGTTTATAGAATATTTTCGCCAAATGAATCAAACAGAGCTTCGCACCATCATCCTCTCCATGGATAACAACAGTGAATCTGTCAGTGACAAGATTTTTCTAGATGTACTTTTCTATATTTCTGAATTCAGAGATCAAACAAAGATGATTAACCCACATTATAGTTATAGTGATTGAAAATACATGATGTAAAATCTTGGATTGCAGAAAACAAAAAATTTACCTCAATTTCACTGCATTTTGCAAGACAGGGAATAATCAAATGGTATATAACAATCATGCAAGTACCTGCACTGCACTTTCAACTGGATTCCAAATATCTTGAGCAGAGTATGCATCTAATTACCACCTTAAAAAGTTTTCTTTTAGATAATATAGTCATTAACATAGTTTATTAATTAACATAGAATTACAGAAATACTCTCACTTATGAGCAGAGATTCTCAGTAAGTGTCTTTGATTTTGACCTTCAGAACAGTTTTGATACCAAAGGTACCTTCCCAGTGTTCAAAAGGAAAACATCATTACCTGATTCATCCCAGTGATCTGGGATGAATCAGGTAATGATGTTTCCTTTCAGAAAAGATTATCATACCACAATTGACTTATTTTCTTAAACTACGTGAATTAAAAACTCAAGCCCTTGTGATTTCAATCACTTCCCACTTTTTTTGAAGAAAGAGCTGACATCATATATGAATATGATGTGGGTTCTTTTTTCATAAGATGAGATTGTTCAAAAGCAATCTGAAGTACTTGAACCAGTATATCTGCATGGTTTGAAAAATTTTTGTTTAACAGTCAGATTTCCTTTTTACAATTCAACTGTAGTTCATTAATTAGAAGAAATCCTTAAACAAATTATACATTAATTATCTCAACCCAGACAATCACACTACTTTTCATGGACTTTGCAGTTGAAATCTCATGCAATACAAAATGGTTAATATAAAAAAAAACCTTTCACCTTTAGGTATTTATTTATCATTCATAGGAAAATACTCATCAGATACAAGAGCTTACTGTCAGAAAAACCCTGATCATACCATTATTGAATTATTTTCTTAAACTACATGAATTAAAAACTCAAGCCCTTGTGATTTCAATCACTTACCATTTTTTGCGAAGGAAGAACTGACCTCATTTTTGTCCAAGGTAAGATGGGATTGTTCAAAAGCAATGCAAGGTACTCCAACCTGTGAGTCTACATGGTTTGAAAAATTTTTGTTTAACAGACAGATTTCCTTTTTAATTCAACTGTAGTTCATTAATTAGAAGAAATCTTTACACTAACTATACATTAATAATCTCAACCCAGACAATCACACAACTTTTCACAGACCTTGCAGTTGAAATCTCATGCAATACAAAATGGTTAATATAAAAAAAAACCTTTTACCTTTAGGTATATTATCTATCATTCATAGCAAAATACTCATCAGATACAAGAGCTTACTGTCACTAAAAACCCTGAGCATGATAGAATGTTATTGCCTTAAATTTTTCACCACAAAGATTGTTACATGACAATTTACCTTTCTCAGTGTCCTCTGTTGTTGGTGTAACTACTGAAGACTTTCATCGCCATTTGAACCAGCAGGATTTCTATTCAAGAATAAAATCATTCCATCATTAATCAATGATCGGCCCATGTTGATTGAACTTCTTAACCACTGTCTTGATTGCTAAAAAGGTTAACTGTCCACATTATTCATTCTATATTTTACATTTCCCTTCTCATAAGCCTCGGGTGACTGTCGATGCGCCCACCGATAATTTAGGTTATCCTAAGGAAAATCAACAGCCACCACTAGCAGAAGGACACTCTTACATCATCCTTTGGCAAATGAAGGTGAAAATTAAAGCCATGTAATAATTGAGTGAATATATAAACATTAGATGAATCAAAGGTTCTTTTATACCAAATGCAAGTTCCATTGAACTGTCTACTTACGATCTTCTTTCCACTGGGCTCAGGTGATGATGGGAACTGGGGAGGTTGATCAATAGGGGGGTCAGAGCTCTCCTGAACAGGCACTATAAAGAGGTCAAATGGTTGATAATTTGAATGTTTATTTTTATGTTCAGTAGATATGAAAATATTCACAGAAAATTTTTTGATTATTCCCCATGATAGAACATCAACTAATTTTCACTCATGGTGAGGTTTACACTGAGTCTACAGATGCATAATAATTGCAAATTACCCTTTCTTCAGCTTAACCCTATTTAACATGTTACTTCTCCCTGTAATATTCACACATTATCCAGCAGACAGGTAGTGAGAATACTCAAACTTATCTGGTAGAACTTTTTACCTTGATCTAACACCAAATACTCATAACTAATTTACAAGGAAATGAGTAGCAGCTAGTGGGGAGAATTAACATTCAGATATTTAAGTTAAAGGGTTAAAACACCGGCAAATTTTACAAAAGTTAACTATCCTAAATAAGTACAAATTGAGAGAATATTTCAATTGGAATATACAAAAGGCTAACCGCAGCCCTTGGCTGAACTTATTGCAATAGAGCATACTGATTAAACAGCAGTAATTACCTTCTTGACTGGGGGCATCAAGTGCTGGTGATGCCTCATATTTCTGAGCTGGAACTGGAGTTCCTCCTTCAGGCTCAAAGACTGGGAGAATATTCCACCTGGGATACAAAAGGCTAATGGCAGCCCTGGCTGAACTACTTGCAATAGAGCATACTCATTAAACAGCTGCAGTAATTACCTTCTTGACTGGGAGCATCAAGTGCTGGTGATGCCTCATAACTCTGAGCTGGAACTGGAGTTCTTCCTCCAGGCTCAAAGACTGTGGTAAGACAACAAGTTAACTATCCTAAGTAAGTACAGATTGAGAGAATATTCCATCTGCGATACAAAAGGCTAACGGCAGTCCTTGGCTGAACTACTTGCAATAGAACATACTCATGAAACAGCAGTAATTACCTTCTTGACTGGGGGCATCAAGTGCCTCATATTTCTGAGCTGGAACTGGAGTTCCTCCCTCAGGCTCACAGACTGCAGTAAGACTCTCACTTGGAGTCACTTCATTATAGGATGATGTCAAGATTCCACAGACATTTAGTGATGATGCACTACTATTACCAAAATCTTTCTCTGACTGTTCAGTGCTGCTTGATACCCTTACAACAATGTCCCGCAAGCTTGATGTGGCTGCTTCTATTATGCTCCCAATGTAACAGTCAACCTGCTGTCCATCAATTTTCATTGACTCCCTAGAACTGGGAGCAGCATTCTGAAAGTAATAAATAATAATAAAGTCACCTAAGAAAAGTAAAGTAGAAACTATTACCCTAGTCTTGATTCCTTTAGAGGTTCAAGTAGTTCATGTATGATTACACACTAAATCTTAATTCTTCAGAGTTCTGTTACAATATATAGACTGGCAAACCAAAAGCTGGTAAATCCTCATAGGTTCATGCATAGTTGACTCAAAGAGATTTGATAAGCAGGGTTTCAAACTAAGGAGAATCTAGTGCACTTTAGACAAGGTTAGTTGTATGTATCATTAGTTTGGGTTCTTTTAATTGATTTCAAGTAACACTTTCAATATATAGCATGGCTTGGGATATTTTAGGTGCCCCTTTATTAGTGGGGAAAGGGGGGGTTGCTATTCCTCCTCTGCTAGACATCATTTGACATGTGATCCAAGTCACTATCATCATCATCATCATCATTTTTCCTCCACCGCTCTAACATCCAGATTATGTGAACAATTTCGCCCAATTGGGGAATGTTTAAAATATGCTTAAAAGTGCGCCTTTGCAAAATGTAAAATAATCCAACTGCGCTCTTTCTTAAAAAAGGTAGGTTACTGCATTTCTATGACAATGAGACCCTCACCGTACAAATTGAGTGTCAAGCAATTCGACAAAGAAACGGCCGCCATACTTAAGTGGACGTATGAAGGAAATGAACATGCAGCTGAAGATTGCTTTCCTCTCTATCGATCACTTAGAGTTCTCCTCCACGTTTTTGGACTGAAATACTCTGTCCAATACTCTCTATCACCCTCCTTTTGTAACGTCTACCAGACGATCGATTGTGATTCGTTAGAAAACTTCGCTATGTGTTAACCTTAAAATTTATTCCCTGCCCCTCCTCTGTAAAGACAGTGTTTTGACTCGTAACCAGGGTTCACGCCGTGCCCTGACACTTTCGCAGAGAAGCTTCCTTTCAAGCAAAGGGTGGTGATCGTGACTGGTATATTTATTGATGCAAAGAAAGTGTTCGAAACAGACAGGTGACCCCATTAGTTAGTAGGTTTAGAAGCTGTCGTTTCTCCTGAATCTCACAAAGTGCAGCTGAGAAAGTGAAACACGAAAACAAGGAGGCCAAATAAACACACATACGTCTCTGAGTTAAGACTTATTCATTTGACCGATCTTCATGTAAGAGACTGCGTGTTTAATCCCATAAAGAGATAAATTCGTTCATGAAATTTATTTCCTATGCATAGCCTTATATAAAGATGTTCTTTTAGCTTGTAATGTAATTACCCGTATAAAAGATTACGTGACAACTCGGATTGCATGACCAACATAGGCGGAGTCACTTGTAACGATGACTGGAAACGCACAAAACTGGGGAATAGACTGGAGTCTCGATCGATAAATTTGTATATCATCTTTCACGTATTTTGCAGTTTATGAATTCCAGGATTTTAAGAGTTGTATTTGTCAAACTAAAGTTCAATAGATTCGCACGTGACTTACAGCTTTTAGAAGAGAGTTTTTGTGACCAGCGGTCTGTTATTTGGACTACACCTCGTTTTCGTGTTTGTGACGAAATCAATAGATACTTAAGGGCTTCTAAGCACTCATTTTCATCTCAATTTCTTCCCCAAAAATTAGCAATTCAGTATGAACGAAACCTCGTTAGTAAATAAGTCTTTCTCCAACCAGTGAGCGCGCAAAAATACCGTACTATTACACGAATAGGAAAAAACCTTGTTCAGAAATTCCATCATGCAATGTTTTCCATAGTACTCTGTTGCCTTGAAAATATTTCGTTTTGTGCCTATCTCTTGTCTGCACTTACCTGATATCCTTTCCACTTTCTACAGTCAGATTTTTGACAACTTTGCTCATGAATAAAGCGCGCGCATTTTACTCTCATTTCACGCGTGAAAAGATCCACTTACCACGACAAAATCTTTCCGAATTCTCATTGTTCTTTACCACACAAAACGCTGAAAGATCGAAACCTAGTCAGATTTGTTCTTACCATGCGCCATTTTGGACGACCGACAAGTCCACCCGAAGCGGTGCTATTCCGTCGATCTCTAGGACTATTGTTGTTGTTGCTGTTGTTGTTGTTGCCATGGTTGTGTTGTTGCTTTATTCGTACAAAAGACGCATTTTGATTATCTAAGACCTGCGCACCTTAATTTAGCAGAATTTTATGTTTATTAGTTGGCCGTAGCTGTCAATAAGTAAGAACAGGATTTCTTTGCACTTGCTTTGGTACCTGCCTTTTTGGAGATTTTGGTCCCCAGCTCCGTCTTTTTTTTCCATGCTCCGTGTTCATTTCAAACGGTCTCACTTTTCACTTGAGTTTTGGGGATATGAGTCCAATCGCAAAAAAGTAGTGAAAAAATTTGCGAGATGCATAGAATTTGTTCAACGGGAAGCTAAATGATCGCAAAAGTAACATTACAAATACCGTGCAAAATATTAATTTTATTTCTGCTTCAATATTACTTTTAGCTGACCCTTTCCCGTTATTCAGCTATTTATTCTTGGCCTTAAATTTCCTTGCGTTTACATCTGGTCCTTTATTTCTAACGCTTTGTCTCTTCGCTTCCTCTTCCAGCACATATGAATTCTTCTTTTTCCTCTCATTTAAAGACAACTTAACTTAATGAACGCAGGAGCCCAAAGGCTTGGCTCACGACAAATTCCGAATTTGTCCGACGAAATATAGCTAGGAGCTCATTTTAACCACCTCAAGTACCCAAAAATAAACAATGAATAGTACTCACGTGGACAGGGTTAATCTCTTTGATTGCTTCCATCACTTTCTTGAATTTTCTTCCGAATAATTGTTGAAAGAGCCGAGCTCCAACCAACGGAAAGTTATAATGATGGGTTGCAATTTTCGCGCGTCGTGATGACGTAACAGACGAGATGATTAACTAATCAACAGATTAGCAAGTCTACGTAACTTCTGCCTCGTTTTCAGGCGCCTTTGCACTGGTTTAGGAAAGCGCGGGAAACTGCCCGAGTGCGCAGACTGCTAGATAGGAGGATATCGACAGATTTTAATAAACGTTCGCCCATAGACTGCTTCAGGCTCTCATTTAGTCGAAGCGATTGCTAAAGCAGGTGGACAGGTCCAAGAAACGAGACTGAGAAAGATCAGGAGCTTGTCAGGAAATATAAAGGGGTGCGTGGTTCCGCAGGTAAACCGGTCGAGGGCTGTCGGTTACTTTGGCCACCACGATGCGCTGACCACTGACTGAGAATTTAGCACAGACTTCTTCGCAAATGAAAGGTTCTGGATGGGAGAATGACAAAGATCGGAAGCTTTCCAGGAAATGATGAAAAGAGCGCGTCCTTCCCCAAGAAAACCAAGTCTTTAACTGCTCGAAATCAAGCTGTTTTGTCGTTGATGCTTAGTTTGCTTGCGAACATATGAAAATGAGAAAAACATAGGAGTGCTAAGTTCTGCTTCGTACGTAGCGTACGAACATTCCTCGGCAAAAGTAAGCTAATGAGTAATTAAGTAATTTTTGGCTACAAGTTCATTACTAAATTTGACGGACAGGCAATGAAAAGACAAAAAGTGACGAAACTGGATTGAAGCTTTGATATCACAACAAATTGTCGATATCAAAAAACATGGAAATATATTTAGGACATAAGTTATGAATGACCTCATACGCCAATCACAGCGACCAGAAAACTCGCGCCACTCTTTCTACCAATCAGGAACAAGAATTAAACCAATCACCACTTGGTCCTTCACGTTTTCCCGCGCTTCAGGTAGTTTGGTTGGTTTTACTTTGAGTTCTCATCTTCAAGGTATTTGCCGTCCATCTTATTTGCCGTTGTAGTTTCGTTTTACGATATTTTGTTGAAAAGCGTTATATTTTGTAATTCATCGAGATTTACCGATCTTTCTCAACTTATTGAGATAAAATGTATCAAAATGTTCGCGCGGGAGGATTGTTGATTGTTGCCATGATTTTCAGTTTGCAAGACGCCTAATACAAAGCGCTGACTGAGGATATTTCCTGCCGTCGTTTACCTTTGTCTATATTAAAAGTTATATTATATTAGAAGTTTTCAATTTTTTAAAGTTAAAGAATACATTTTCTTAACTGTTATGCTTGTTTCATTAACATTAACTTAAAAAAAGGTTATCCTGAATCTAATTCTAGAAAGCCATCTTGCCGACATTTTTACCAGATATCTAGAGGTTTGATTTTTGTCCTAAAAACATCTTATTTCCTTTTCACCCGAGGTCGCACGAGTCAGCGCATTGCGAATGATTGCATCATTGCATGATGGGAAAAAAAAGTGCTCGTTAGACACAAACCTTACATTCTACTGAAACTAGAGACTCGTTTAGAGATTGAGCTAAGTGTTGAAAGAGTAGCGTTAAAATTGTAGCAATAGGTTCAGACTTTAAAAGCAAAACCAATGAAGCTAGTTTACCTTTTGACAAGTGGTAGTGACCCTACGAATTAAGAAAACGGAGAGGTGGATCAAATGAATGATTCTGATTTCCTTTCCATTTTCAACTTTGAGTTAAATCAGGGTGATCCAATTTCGAATTGCCTAGGTATCGAGTTGCTCAGAGTAAAATCGTGTAGGCAAGAGTTCAAGAAGGGTCCAACTACCCAAGGTAATTGGGTTGTGGTAGTTCTTCTCTGTGGCAGGCCTACAGTAGGATTTGGCCGACGTTCTTTTTTCATGGTCAACGCAAAAGGAAAATTTCATTAATTCTTGAAATGCTTGAAATGTTTGACGTTTTCCGTATCGTTAAACAATATATGAGTTTCCAGTAATCGGATCTTTGTGTTTGCGCCAGCTTGTTTTGACGCGAAAACTCACGATTTTGGTGAGAGATCATCGGATCTTTGAGTTTGCGCCAGCTTGTTTTGATGCGAAAACACACGAATTTTGGTGAGAGATCATCGTTTTTTCGCCGCCAGTTTATAACAGATGGATTAAGGTAATGTTGATTGAAAGGAAGCGTTCGTTTTGGTGTGATTAGCCACGAAATATGTCATAAAATCTACCGATTTACTTCCTACCTTGCGTAAGGCTTATTGTGAAATTGACATCGCGCTATGGTCTCAACATATCACACGATGACGTTTAAACTTTACTGGAACTATTTGAAATAGTAACTGCCAACGACACACAACAGAACAACAGAACGGAATGCACGGGCTGAGTACTTACCTTAAAGGCTGAGACGCGGATCTAAGGTGCCGTGTACATTTAAAGATCGAAGATGACGCGAATACTACCGAAGATTTTTGGAAAATTCTTGAGGAAATTCTTGATGATAACTGGCCGACCTCGTGACTTTAGACCCTCATTTGCAGGGTACAGGAAACCATGCCAAGGGCAAGGTCAGCGCACGAATAAAAGATGACTCTTTCTTTCCTTATAAAATAGCTATATCAATCAAAACCTCGTTGCTGAGCGAAACTTGAAACTTCGCACCAATCACATCCGCTTTGCTGGGGAAAAACTGGGCGCTTCCCACCCCGTAAAATCGCATAGTAATTCTCGGGAATTCCTCAGGGACTTCGGGTTGTTCACAGCACCTCCGGCGTTTCAGTCTTTCTTTGGGTGGGCATTCAGTTCTGCAATCCGCTACAGATCACTGAAATTCATTTTTCCTCGGTTTTACTTAGGATGCCACTTTAGGCTTATGTGCGGTGTAGATCATTGTCCTACTAACAACTACTACTTCAGATCTTTTTAGCTGGCTTAAACGTCATGTTTGCTCATTTTCTGGCCATTAGTTAAGTTATGTTAGTTTTTTTTTAGGTCATTTAAGGTCATTAGGCACATCAGTCAAGGCCACTTTAGGTCATTCCTTGTTTTCGTAAGTACGGTTTTAAAAAGATCGTGAATAGCCTGCTCTCCTACTTATTAACGTGTTTGATAAACAAATACGGAGGCTAAAAATATGTGTCCTCAGAGTAGAGAAGTCGTTATTAGTGGAAATGGTAATTGTTTTTACCCAGCTGTTGCTCTTTGAAGGGATGAAACAAACGATGAGAAACACGAGGAGATCAGTAGGTGGAGTTCCAGTTTGTTTCAGAAAAATCCAGAGGTTTTTGAGTCGCCACTCTTCGTTATTTTCAACTACAAAGCCAGTCACTGTTTATTCAACACTACAATTTTCTACAATGATTTCTTCGGATGAGCTAACTGATTAATCATCTGATCATGGTAGTTCACTGTTGCTGCACAATCCCTTCTAATGCTGCGCTCAGTTGCCAACGTATCCCACAGAATCGCCTTTAGTTGTTTTGCTTAAACAACATTTTTACTAGACTAAAACTCCATGGTGAGTCCCTTTCTAACAATACAGGCCTTTTTTTGCTGGTATTCAAATTAAACTTTTTCCAAATTTCTTTTACTCTGCGTACAATACTTTGGTGTACGCAATTGTTCACGCCAGAGAAATTTTTTCCCCACAAATGCAAATCTGAGGGTCTTAGTGGGGTTAACCGCTATTCGTAAAACAGCCATAGATTTTAGCAGTTAGGCGAAAAAATTGACAAATTTTAATCGTCAGTCATGAAACAAAGTTTACTGTAACCGATAGCCATAAAAACCATTACCCCATTGAGACCCTCAAACCGTGTTTGTTGCAGTAAAAACTCTAACTACTTCCTTTGTCTACTTAAATCTTTTTCTAATCAGCTTTTCCAAATTCTTCCGCATCAATTTTAAAAGTAAAACAGTAAAAATCCAACAATATTGATCGATCCTTCCAAGAGCTCTCATCCCACTCCAGCAACATTTAGCACTGATAAGGAAATCAGTTGCCTTCAAATTTTCCTACTGTAATCGAAAGTTACACGGTGGCTTTCAATGCCAGTTTAGGAGTTCTGATCAAAATTGGTTGCTCAGTGGAGACATGATCGACATGAGCAAATGCCCCAATCTTTGGACTTTGTCAAAACCAGGTTAAGTTCCTTTTACTCTAGGGCGAGGATAGGAAAGAAATGAAATGGACAAGCTAAAACAGTTCAATGTTCCTGAAGTCTGATAGATATAGAATGTAACCCAGTGGATTTAATTTACAGATGGCATTTATGTCTGTCACAGGCCAGGAACTTGTATTTCATTCTGTATCATCAGATTTGAGCATTATCAACCCACGCGATTCCGCCTGGTTTTCTCGTGCACGTTGAGTTTTTTTCAGTATACGGTCATCGTGACTTCTTCGGAGCAGATTGTTATTGACATTACAAAAAGTCATCCGACAAAGACAAGAAAACCATGTGTGACATTTTTACCAAATGTACCGAATGCTGCAAAATCATCGAACAGGCCCGGAAGAAGAAAAACAAAGGAGGAAAAAAACACAAATGCGTTGTCACTCAATGTCCCGTATGCCAAGAAGACGTAGATATCAGAACCTACAGATGTTTCATTCAACCTGCCAAAGAAGAGGAATGACCTCGACACTCTAAAGAAGAACGAACGCAGCGTCAAGGCATTCCTATGTCAGAGATGGACCCTGATGAATTAGATTTCAAAGATCCACCCATCTTTGTCTATGCTGATTACGAAACGATGCAATCAGCTGATGGTGAACGTCGACCTATTATGGTATGTTGCGAAACCGATCAGGAGGACCATACACATGTATTTTACGGCGAACATTGTTTTCAAGACTTCCTAGCATTTCTAGATCAATTGGCTATCGATGAAGACGAATTCGAACGACCTGTTATTGTCATGTTTCACAACCTGCAAGGTTATGACAATATGTTTATTCTACAAGAACTGTACAATCAACATCGTCTGGTGGAAAATCAAGTCTGCGTCGGCATCAAAGTCCGTCACGACTGGCCCTATCACCGTCAAGGACTCTTTTTGTTTTCTACCTTTTTCATTAGCTTCATTCCCTAAAGCTTTTGAATTGGTAGGCCTCAAAAAAGGATTTTTTCCACATCTGTTTAACACACCCGAGAACCAATCTTATGTCGGACCGATCCCACCCAGCGACACTTACGATCCTGACAGTATGAATCATGACAAACGCCAAGAATTTCTAAGTTGGTATCAAGACCAGGTGCGACGAAGAGTACTGCATTTCTGATGTCAAGTTATTGAAAGCGGGATGCCAAAAATTTCGAGAAGAATTTTCTCAAGAGGCGCAATTTGATCCTATGGAGCAATGTATCATGATTGAAAGTGCCTGTAATTTGTATTGGCAAAGACATCATCTGAGTGCTGATTGTATTGCTGTGGAACCAGCGGGTGGATGGCATGGTGTATGGGCGGCCGTCACCACCAAAAATACAAGGATGTCAAATAGATCAGCAAATACAAAGATGGCTTAAGGATCAGTTGCAGGATAGTACAGTTAGTAAAGGAATGGCATGGCTAAATTATAGACAGTCTAGTTTTCCTTAGTGAAACAGAATACCATAAACATGAATAGTTTAGCCAAATGAGAAACGGTCTAGTAGCCCATGTTGAGTTGGAACATGAGATTGTGAAATGGACTAGCTCAATTACGAATAGCTTAGCACTCATTTGCAATACAGTACTCAAATAGTGTAGCGTTGCGTTAAACGGCTCAGGGAAACGTCGAGTAGCACAGCCTACGCACAAATGATGTAGCGTTGCGTCAAATGGCTCAGCATAATGTAGAATGGTACAGCGTACACACATATGGTGTAGCGCTGTGAGAAATGGCTCAGCGTAATGTCGAATGGTACAGCGTACATAAAAACAGTGTAACGTTGTGTGAAATGGCTCAGAGTAATGTCGAATGGTACAGCGTACATACAAACAGTGTAGCGTTGCGTGAAATGGCTTAGCGTAATGTCGAATGGTGCAGCGTACATACAAACAGTGTGGCGTTGCGTGAAGTGGCTTAGCATAATGTCGAACGGTACAGCGTACACACAAATGGTGTAGCGTTGCGTGAAATGGCTCAGCGTAATGTAGAATGATACAGCGTAGACACAAATAGTGTAGCGTTAGGTCGAATAGCTTTGCAAAACATCAGACGCTCTATCTGAACATTAAACTGCTTAGTATTACTTGAAATATTTCGATATTGTGGCGAATCGTCGTGGCGTGACGTGAAGGCCATGCCATTCCTTTATTAGCTATGCTATCCTGCAGCTGATCCTTAAGCCATCTTTGTATTTGCTGATCTATACGACATCCTTGTATTTTTGGTGGTGACGACCACCAAGGCATCTCGCCGAAACCACCAAAAATACAAACCGCAAATGGAACAGCGATCTGCTGGGGGCATGACGTCATCGAATGTGAAGACTGACACGAAACCATTACATGGCGTAGTCGCTGTATGGAATAGTCTTCACTTCGCTTTGCCGTAAAGCAGAGCCAATTCGGTAAGTTTCTCCTCTTTTTTCACTGCTGATATTGCACTTATTCGTTGTCGTTCATGAAAGCGTCAATTAAAATAGCAACGAGACTGAATTCTACCACGGTTTACCGGCCCTCCGGTTTACCACAGTTTGCACGCGTTGGTGGGCTGAATATGTTTATAGTATTAAGTAGTGTTATGAAGTGCATTAAATGTCAATTGTCGAACTCCCTTTTCTTTCTGTGACTCACGCTTACTTTTCAATGAGAGTCCAACTTCAACGGCTCTTTGAACACTGGAGGAGTACATGAGAAGTTGAATATTGTGTGTGCCCTGGACGCCATGGTAAGAAAACTGATATCCTTGATCTGTTTTGACATTTTTCGATCAAAGTGATATCGGAATGTTTTAATTGGTGTGCCGGACGATAAGAATAAGCTAAGAGAAGACTGTTTATATTTATTATTTTAAAGAGGTGTACATTATATTGCTTTGTTTATTAATTTTTTTCCTGGGTGCAGTGATAGTAAAAGTAAGTTCCATTTTTATTTTGTCGATCAAACGTAGATTACATGTCTGGACCGGAAACAGTTAAAGGGTTTTTTTTCGCGTTCCAAAAATAGTGTTTGTCAGGGTAATATTTTTTCTGAGTTGGTTTTGCGCGCATACATACTTATCTTCCCTGTGCTCTTTCCCATTCCGTAGTCATCACGTATTAAGGAAGGCTAGTGCGGACATCGTAATGCACGTAGTTGTACGTAATTGTACAACTCTAGGTCGAGTTTTACCGTTCGATCTGTTACAGTCGCAACTTGCTGAATAAAAACTATTGCATAATTCAGACAATTGACAGGACATCTTGCTGTTTCGTCGTTTGTTTCGGTAGACGTATTTATTTATATTTTTATTTATTTTTACATTTCTGTACCTCAACTATTAATTTTTGTGATTATTATTATTACTATTTTTATTATTATTATTGCTACAGACTGAGTTCAATACACACTAGATATATTGACTAGAGTTGCGTGACTTGTAACGTTTCTCTTCTTGCCTTTAGGGCTAAGCAAAGAAAACTTCCAGATGATGAAAAAGCAAAGAAGAAAAAAAAATTAGTGCTTGCTTTATAAGTGGCTCGTCTCCATCTTATGAATTTTTTTTCTTCACAGGTATCGTTGTTTGTTGTCCTTCAGTACTGTTAAGAGTCATGGACTTTCGTCAGCATTTATCAGATTCCCTAAATGAAATAACTGAATATATACAAGAAGGCGGAAATCGTGGAGGTGATTTAGAGAATACTGTTTTAAGACTGGAGGTTCTTTACGAGGCAGCGTTGATCAATGGGGACATTCCTTTAGATGCGGTTGACTTAATCAATCAAGCTCGTACACACCTGAACGTAAACTTGCATCAACAAGAGCCTTTTCGTGGGTATGAAGCACCAGCAGTGAGTGAGGCAGGTCGCCGAGGAAGACCTAAGTTTGCGATTTCCGAGAAGCAGCTGCTATTTTTCAGAGGTAAGGAGGAAAAAGTGCTTTTCCCATTTTCAGGTTGAAAATTTGAAATGAAAATAAGGTAGACACATTTGAAACTATCCATATATGCCCCATATGAAGTGAGTGCTTTTTTTTTCGAGTTGATAGGTTTCGCCAAACCACGTTTTTTGGTTATTCATAACATCTTTAGTGAGTTCACCTTTTGAAGGTTTCATTCAATTTTCAGTGTAAACTATCTACTCTCAAAGGACTGTGTTTTCTTTTATGAACACTAGTTATCTTTTTGTTAGAGAACAACTTCACGTATAAAGACATGGCTCTAATGCTTGGGGTTAGCAAGCGAACTATTGAAAACCGTATGGCCGAGTACGAGTTGACGAACAAGTCCCGCTACAGTGACATAGAGGACGATTTCCTGGATTCTTTAATCCAGCGTATCATGACAAATTTCCCTAGATCGGGTAAGTAAGTCTTCATAAAAATTTTGAGGCTGTGGCCGGTCATGTTCAGTCAAAAAATAAAGATTTTTTTGCCCTTAGCTTGGTAAAGAACAGTTTGAGAACCAGTACATAATGACGCAACAATTTATTCCTCTGGAACTAGACATGATAAACATCTGAATTGGGAAATTTTCTCGTTTGCCTTTATTTCTTTCAGATTGCATAAATTAATTAAACCTTTTCGGCCGATACGCGTTATTGCTTGAACACCTCAAGAAACGTAGACATTATCACACTTGGCAAACGCAAACATGCTTCTTTTAGTATAGACGTACACTCGAGACCGTTTCTGAAAATCCCGTACGCTGTTCTCTTCCAGTATATTAATTCAAAACGTAATAACTTACAGGCAAGAGCTTTTAAGCCCGCCGTAGTGTTAACACAAAATTTTGCATATCAGAAACACACTTTATATCCTCTAAACAGAGAATTCAAGAAAGCACGACAAGTGGCATTAACTTCACTACTGTGTCACAGGGTGCTTGAAATTAAAACCCTTATTTTTGTTGACAGGTTGCAAAACAATCGAGGGTTACCTTGTTTCGCAAGGTGTACATGTGCAGAGGTGGAGACTAAGGAGTGCCATAAAGAGAGTCGATCCCATTGGCAGGAGGCTAAGGTCTATGAATGCCATCCGTAGACGAGTGTATAACGTACGTTCCCCACTGGCCCTCTGGCATATGGACGGGAATCACAAACTGATACGGTAGCTGTCACTTATCTCACTATTTTGATGACATAATTGTTGTTATAATTCAGGTCTCAATAACTTTGCACCATTTGTTTTAGGAGTAACCTCCCCCCCCCTCCCCCCTTCATATACTTTCGGTTTACCACTCTATTCCTTCTCTTTTTAGATGGCGATTCGTGGTTCACGGCTGTATTGACGGTTACAGTCGCTCCGTCGTTTATCTTAAGTGCGATACGAATAACACGTCTGTCACAGTCTTGCGTCTCTTTGAGGGTGCGGTGTCTGAATGGGGATTGCCATCACGAGTCAGGGGCGACATGGGAGTTGAAAACAGAGACGTGGCACACTACATGTTGAACCATACAGCAAGAGGGCCCGGAAGAGGGAGTTACATCACCGGACGAAGCGTGCACAACTCGCGTATAGAAAGACTCTGGCGCGATGTGTACCAGTTAGTCCTATCCTCATTTTACGACCTTTTCCTTTCTCTCGAAGCATGCGGTCAGCTCGATCCGGACAACGAAGGGCATCTATTTTGCCTTCACTTCACTTATCTCCCAATAATCAACGAGGCCCTTTCAAAATTTGTGCTATCCTGGAATAATCACAAAATACGTACTGCAGGAAACAAAAGTCCTTTACAACTGTTCATACTAGGGATGCAAGAAATTGCGGAAGAAAGTGGTATTGTGGCATCAGAATACTTTCAAAACCTTAGTCAGGTAAACGCAATAATGCATATGACAGACACAGTTCCCCAAGCATTAAAGCCACACGGGTGAACAATCTCAAGTGGCCTCTACTAAATATTGAGTTTTAATTAACCACCCCTTCAATTTAAATATAGATCACGATCGAAACGATGCCAAGATTCCTTGCTTGCAAAGTTAATTTAAGGCAGTCATAACCAATGCTTTGCGGTATTTGAATCTCCTTTCAACTATATTTCAGAGGGACTTGGAGGGATACGGTGTGGATCCTACGGCTTACTTTCATGACGGCACAGATGATGCACTACAGAATGAGGTTGTCGTCCCACCGACACGGTGTCCGTTAGATGCTGATTCGTGTACGATTTTTAAGGCAAGCATGTCAGAAGTCCAAGGCGAAGATCCATGGGACATTACACCATATCTGCATGCACTGGAAACGATGAATCGTCTGAAAACCTAGGTTTTAACATTTTGTATAATGCACCAGTGTACGCCACTTACGTTAAAGTATCTCCCCCCCCCCCCATCCTATCATCTTACTTTTCTATTTCGTTGGACAATGTGTTGTTTTTTGTTTATTTCGGTTACACCGGGAAAATGAGTACACTTGGCATCACTCATAATGTATCCTATCGTAATCTGCGATTTCATGTCAGCTTGCGATAACCCCAACCTAAGCTGAGTGGAACTGGTGCTGAAATAGTGAGAGGTTGTAACGTCTGACTATGAATAGACAGCACACAGATAACATAAAAGATAACATTTTAATACCAAAATGTATCGATTGGGACTTTTAAACAGTATAGTAAGTGAAAACGTAACGGCTTTAAAAATTGCGCAATAAACGTCCTTCGCTTTACTTTTGTTTGGATGAGTATTTGAACACGAATTTTCGCCTCAACAATGCTGCTGTAAACTAAATTCAACTTATAAATTAAAAAACACCTTGTCAAAGAGAATCAATCAGAAATCAGTAGTTTCACTTAGAGACGGCCAAAGTAATCATTTGCGAAAGCGTAGTCAAAGAAAGAGAACACTTCTTCCTTGGTCATTGATACATTCTCACCTATCGGCAAAGTCAGCCTGCTAATACAAGTGTTGCCCATAGGAAGGCAAGATGGCATATTTGTATCAAAACAAATAGTGGGCTTCATTTGGAAACCCAGAACAGGCTCGTTCTCGCATCCAGTGACGAACTTTAAAATGCTATGGAGAGATATATTGCCATCTACCCTCCTTCCAGCTGAAAAGAGAAAAACACAAAAATTAGCAGTGCACTCATGAAGCTCTGAATCCCAGTTCTTTTTTACGCGCTCTGTGGAAAATTTCGATTGGCATAAAGCAAAGTTACAACTGTCTAGCCAGCGGTGATGTTTCTTAGACTAGAGAAAAGAGAACGACAATTACCTGACACCTCTTTCAAGTAATTCAGGAAGAGTCTGTATGTTCGCTCTTCCCGCTGCCTTTGGTTGGTCGCTTCGTCGGAAAAAATAGGGTCCAGCAGTTTCACCAGTTTGGGGTATGTCATAGGCAGCACTGCTGTCTTTCGGAAGAGGAATGAAAGACTCGGTTTCCCATGAAGGAGCTAACAGATTAAGAGAAAAGCAAGATTCATTTCCTCGGAAAGTATGGAATCTATGTAAAAGTGTTAGAGATCAAGGGAATACAAATCTCTTGTGTGAGTAAGAGAGGATCAAAGAGAAGAGAGGGCATCCTACATACAGTCCCTATTCTTCTTCAGCCATTTTTAGACCTGCTCCCAGACTACAGAGATCCTAAGGGGATTAAACAACTGCCTATCACATGTAAAAGAAATGTGTGGGGTTTTTCGTCGGAAGCGCTTGAAGAGAAACTGTCCGTATTTAGCGAGAGTCGGTATTGTAAGGTTCCACTGTAGTCATAATTAAATTTGGTTTTCTTGCCTAAGTAAAGGGTGAAGACTAGACCATCAGTTACAACCGGTCACTGTGAAATCTTACCTCAACGAGTCCGAATCTCTCGAGTCCTACCCGAAATTGGGTTTCTGCTTCCCCCAGATTAGTCAAATCATCTTTTTTGAAGATTCGCTGAAGCTGGTCTTCAGCAAGGAAAGTAGGCAAAGGACCACCTTGCAACAAACTGAAACCTGCAATAAAAAGGTAAATTGAAATTCTTGTGTGCTCAAGTGAAAATGACATAGGTGTCTCAGTAGGCTTTGCATATTTACCAAAAAAGAGGCCAGCTCCATAATAATGTTTCCTATCTAGTGCTTCTTTTTTCTCAAAATGATGTAGCCTTCTCTTTCTTCCTTGAAGAGCTTGTCACGTATTTCGCGCATTACCATGCCCAAAAATTCCCGCCTTGGACCACCATAATCTTGAATGCCCTCGCCGGTGAAGATCACCTCTAAAGGTACACTGAAATCAATCGCTGGCGGATCATCCCTCAATGTCTCTTCCATAGCATCATCGAAGTGGCGGTAACGAGAGACAAATATCTCCGTGGTCTTTCCCTCACACAGTTCAGAGTCGTTTTGAAGGTCAAGCATTCGCCCTCGCTGTAACCTTCGCCTGAACTCCCCTAAGACTGTAACAGGCTCGTCACAAGTAGCCCTGAAATAAATTTGAAATGATCAAAGAGGCGTAACGCCCGTGAAATTTGAATAATTCCCAAAAGTATGCCGGTAACTGCTGCATTAAACCGGTCTACTAACGAGCAGTCGGCCCGATTGTATCTAGCTTCTTACACTAATAGTTGAGTGCCAAAGTCAAAGTAGTAAAATCAACTAACGGATCTCTGCACATAAAAGGTTGTGCTTAGCACATTAAATCATTGGACGGACGCCTAATTTCCCCCTTCCTTCCCTTAAAACGATATCACAGCAAAAGTTCATACACACTAACACCAACTACACTGTAGGGTACGCAAAAGACAATCAAGCAGAATGTACCAAGCATAATTCTATCAATTTGTACTTACATAGCTTTTAATGTTTCCTCTAAAGCATTTCTCATATGCTCCTCGTACGGGACAGGTTCCCTAGGTAGATAGCGAGGAATAACTATTTGAGGGGGCTTTTAGCGGAATGGTAGAAGTTTTCATGTAATGTTCATGATGTTACAATCAACTGTCAATTAGTGTATGACGGCAACAGCAGAGTAGAATGGATGTACACACGGTTAGTGCATAGAAAACGATACAGGATTGGCGTTTCATTCCCTTAGACGCACTTGAGAAACTTTTCAGCGCCACCTAAATAATCGGTAATTTTAACATGGCTAAGAAACTCACTCTTCATTGGCGGCTGCTTCGTCATGACTTATTGAAGCCTGATCAGTACCACGAGGAGGCTGTTCAACAACTTTTAGGTTACAGCGTAAGTAAACAATCATATCAACTGGAAGAAAGCTCCTCCCGTAAGCTACCGCAAAGTTTGTGTTTGTGTCTTTTACAATTCAAGCTATTACTCGCTTTTTCAATCGTTTTAAGAATGTACATTTCAAATGGTTTTGTGAGTGCGGTAAAGGGCATTTTCGTGACTCGTGATCAGCCCTTGTTTTCCCAGTGAAATATGAAACTTTTTGTCGAAAAGCGTGATTTTGTAAAATTATTTTCTGTAAATGAATGTTTAATTTGCTGTAAATCGTGAGTTTAAGGTTACTTCCTACCTTCAGAGACCTAGAAAATCGATTTTTATTTTGTTTGACAAAACTGAATACAAACATTCCACCAAATGTTTTCATGGAAAAAATATCTGATATATTTAAAAGCACCCGAGCTATGTAGAAAAACGTATTTTCAAATAAAAGTTAATAAATCAGGAAAGTGTCATTATCTCGGACCTGGGTGAGTTCCCTAGGGGAATTTTCGCGGCAACCGCTCATGTTGAGGCTCGATTTTCATGTTATTTCCCTATTTTGTTTACATCGCGCACTTTCCAAAATTCACACGTGGAAGCTCTTTGTTTATGGAAAAATCTTTGCTCATGGAAAAATAAACAGCGGAAGAAAGTCCTTGGGAGAAAAAAGGAAAAAAAAGGCAGGCCCAAAGAAGAAAGAAAGAGTAGCACTCTTTCAAGTAAGGAACAAAATTCTTTTGTGAAAGCGATTAGTACTAACGGAACTTCACGCTGGCGCCCAGATTTCGAACAAAGAGAACGCCACCTAACCAACTTTTGCCATACATGATGTTAAAAACGAAGTTTCCTTTTTTTAATGCAAGTACTAGTCTTGATACAAAAACATTAAAAATCGCCTCGAATCGTAATTTTGAAAGCTGTATGTCGATTCGTTGTCTTGCTCCTCAGCTTTGCAGTTTTTTAATTTTTGCAGCGGGTTTTTCCTTTGCCTTTGACAACTTTGCTCATTATTGTGTCGTCCTCCACAACGCTCCACTGAGCAATCGAGATAAAAAAAGAAAAAAAAGTGTGCAATGGGTTACTTTTACCGCGAAATCTTGATCCATAGTAATTGACGCCAGGAGGTCCCATTGTCCTATTGGTTTGCGGTTTCCTGGGGCCAGATAATCTCCTGGCGTGGCGCGAGTTGTTTGCGAACCTTTATGAGCTAAAATCTGGCAATTGATTTTAGGAGGAATACCACTACTTTGAGCGAATTTATAGGGTACACAGATTTGACCGATTTTCGTCACATTTCGCTAAAACATCCCAGGAATAATGACAAACGAAGGTGTGTCGGGAAATTTTGATATTTGAAATATTTGTCCTGTGGCGTCCATTTACGCAACACGATTCGCATATTTTTAGCTAGTCCAACTAAAGATGCCGATATCGACACAACCAATCAGAATATCGCTGACACACTTTTGTTAATTGATGCCTTGTGAATGAGACTGTGCAGCCATTTTGCTCATGATGCAGCATCCGATACCCGATCACGCCTTACCGGCTCTTGACACTTCCTCAAAAGAAAGTCGCTTAAATTATATTTTTATCGTAATCTGCAGTTATTAAGCTTTCTTCTGATAGATATAGTTTGCTAGGATTTTAGTGAAACCAGCGCGTGAACGAATTTTTCCCGAAGGACACCCGCGAAGGTGGGAAGTAATTTTAAGTATGTCTTAGAAATATTTTCTACACATTTTACCTTTACCACCCTCTTTTACGTCTGAAAGTTTTCTTACTAATTTTATGGCAGACCTGCCTCATCAAGGAGGGTATGTATGTGCTCAAAACCAACTCGGAAAAAAGGTTCCTTTGGCAAACACTACATGTTTGATTGATTGAAGAATGTCAAAATATAACGGATATCAGTTTCCTTACCATGGCGTCCAGGGCACACACAAAATCCAACTTCTCACGTACTCCTGCAATGTTCAAAGAGCCGTTGAGGTTAAACTCCCTTTGAAAAGTAAGCGCGAGTCAGAAAAGAAAAGAAATGAGAGCTCGGCAATCGACATTTAATGCATATCATAACACTACTTAATACTATTAAAATTCAGACTCACCAACGCGTGCAAACTGTGGTAAACCGGGAGGCCGGTAAACCGTGGTAGAATCCAGTCTTGCTATTTTAATTAACACTATCATGAACGAAAACGAATAAATGCAATATCGGCAGGGAAAAAAAGAGGAGAAACTTACCTAATTGGCTCTGCTTTACGGCAAGGCGAAGTGAAGACTCTTCCACACAGCGACTACACTATGCAATGGTTTCGCGCCAGTCTTCACATTCGATGACGTCATGCCCCCAGCAGATCGCTGTTCCATTTGCGGTTTGTATTTTCGGTAGTTTCGGCGAGATGCCTTGGCGGCCGTCACCACCAAAAATACAAGGATGTCGTATAGATCAGCAAATACAAAGATGGCTTAAGGATCAGTTGCAGGATAGCATAGCTAATAAAGGAATGGCATGGCCTTCACGTCACGCCACGACGATTCGCCACAATATCGAAATATTTCAAGTAATACTAAGCAATTTAATGTTCAGATAGAGCGTCTGATGTTTTGCAAAGCTATTCGACCTAACGCTGCACTATTTGTGTCTACGCTGTACCATTCTACATTCCGCTGAGCCATTTCACGCAACGCTACACCATTTGTGTGTACGCTGTACCATTCGACATTATGCTAAGCCACTTCACGCAACGCTACATTGTTTGTATGTACGCTGTACCATTCGACATTACTCTGAGCCATTTCACACAACGTTACACTGTTTTAATGTACGCTGTACCATTCGACATTACGCTGAGCCATTTCCCGCAGCGCTACACCATATGTGTGTACGCTGTACCATTCAACATTACGCTAAGCCATTTGACGCAATGCTACACCGTTTGTACATAGGCTGTGCTACTCGACGTTACCCTGAGCCGTTTAACGCAACGCTACACCGTTTGAGTACTGTATTGCAAATGAGTGCTAAGCTATTCGTAATTGAGCTAGTCCATTTCACAATCTCATGTTCCAACTCAACATGGGCTACTAGACCGTTTCTCATTTGGCTAAACTATTCATCTTTATGGTGTTCTGTTTCACTAAGGAAAACTAGACTGTCTATAATTTAGCTATGCCATTCCTTTATTAGCTATGCTATCCTGCAACTGATCCTTAAGCCATCTTTGTATTTGCTGATCTATTTGACATCCTTGTATTTTTGGCGGTGACGGCCGCCCATAATGGTGCTCGTAATAATTAATTGTCGAAAGCTCTGAAATGGTTGAAATGGGTGGAACATACACTTCGAGAAGAAGAATGCAACAGTGGTTTACCCACCAGAAGGGAAGATCGCGTGACGCATGCAGGGAATTGCGGGGAACACACGATCATGACACCCACGCGTGTGTGTTACGTGGATGGTTTTGACCCTGTGACCCAGACCGTGTACGAATTTCTTGGCTGTGTATGGCATGGTTGTCCTTGCTGTCATCTAAACCACAGATTAGTTCCTAAAGTGCATCTAGACCATTCCATGGAAGAAGTGTATGACGTGACCTGTGCCAAAACCACTTTGTTACACTCGATGGGTTTCACCGAGGTGAAAATGTGGGAATGTTTTTGGGATGACCTCTCCAAACACGACCCGCGATTGATACAGTTTCTTCACACCTTGGAAATTGTAGAGCCCCAAGAGCTGCGTCATACATTTTACGGTGGAAGGACCGGCGCTACATGTTTGTACCACAAGACCAATGAAGCCTAAGGAGAAAAAGTACATTACATCGATGTCACTTCTGAATATCCGTGGGTGAACAAATACAGAACTTATCCCGTGGGACGCCCACAGATTTTAACAAGTCCTCAGATCGCTGATCTATCAGATTATTATGGCATCGCCAAAGTGGATATTGTACCACCAGAAGAATTGTTCAATCCTGTCTTACCCCATCGAAGTGGAGGAAAATTGTCTTTTCCGTTATACTGTACCTGTGTGGAACAACAACAAGCAAAACCGATGCTCGACCGCCGATGGACCTGTACTCACACCCATCAAGAACGCCTCATCCGCAGTACGTGGTGTATACCTGAAATCAGTAGAGCCGTTTAAAAAGGGTACAGAATTGTGAAAATTCATGAAATCGGGCATTTTCCCAAAGACCAACGTGTCGAAGGATTGTTTGCCGGGTATGTGGATACATGGCTGAAAATGAAACAAGAATCAAGCAGGCGGCCATCTCATTTACGCACCCTAGAAGTATTGCAGAATTACATTAACCACTATGAAGCGCATGAAGGTATCCAAATGGAACCAGGAAAAATTGTGAAGAATGCAGCCAAACGTTCATTAGCCAAACTCATGATGAACTCATTCTGGGGTAAATTTGGAGAATACCTCAATAAACATGCGGTGGAATCAGTCACAGCGCCTCACGAATTGTTTGAATATTTAAATAATTCATTGGTGGTCATTCATGCGATTCGCATCTTTTCAGAAGATGTCTTAGAAGTGGTGTTTAGCTACGTAGACGAAGACGCTTCGAAAGGTAAGTAAACCAATATTTTTATCGCCGCCTTTACGACCATTCAAGCCCGCTTGCAATTATACCGTTATCTAGATCCCTTACGAGATTAAGTCCTCTACTACGACGCAGATTTTGTCATCTTCTCATATAAACCCGGCAAAACCACGATCACATTAGGCGATTATCCTGATGATATAACCAGTGAATTGAACGAGGATGATTACATAACTGAGTTTGTATCGGGTAGTGCCAAAAATTACGGATATCTCACCAAACAAGGCAAGTCTTGCTGTAAAGTACATGGATTTACTCTGAATTATCGTGGAAGTTGGTACCTGAGTTACGAAGTTATGAAACAAAACGTCTTGGAGGAAATTACAGATCCTTTGGATGAAGAGTGAAGAACCGTACCCGTGACCAACCCTTATTTCTTTGCTCAGGAAACCAAAACAAAGAAAATTAAGACTGTCGAACATATCAAACAGTACGATTTAGTGTTTGACAAATGCGTGATTGACAAAGACACTTTTATGTCTTATCCATACGGATATAAAAGTTTGTAAGTTTAGTGACGTCCATTAGTAAACCATAAGAACCCGGAGAAAGAGAAAGACAAGGAAACTGCAAAGAGGAGGTGCGGCGGCGAGTATTGTCAAAAGAATATTACAGTGGGGTCTCACCACAACAGACAAAATTGCCAAAGGTTTAAGCATGTTCTTATTGTGTCCATCTCCATCGTTCGGTGCCTTAGGTAGACCTTCAGCCAAACAAGTGTTTAAAGGTGTAAAAGACAATGTCATACATTATTGAAAGATAAAAAACACATGGACACGCTATTTGTAATCAATAACAGTTTTTATTAATTAACAAACAAGTTTTGTTATTACAATTTCAATTATTTCTTAGTGTGTATAATGTAACGCGCCAGGTGGTCCATCATTGATTTCTTACCAGGAAGATTTTTAATAGAGGCTACCATTTTATCGTAGGCTTTCCACTTATCCTCTTGACTCTTGGCTTTGGAGTAATCAATGACGTGCTGTCTGGCAATGCGATCCAAACGATTGATGCCCTGATCCCCTCGATCCAAGCGTTTTTTCAAAAATGTGCCTGATCCAAAGAATCGATAACGTTTCTCCTTAGATGAAGAATAAGGATGAAATTACACTCCTAATTTTCCAATCCAGTTTTGAATGTCAAATTTGCCTCCTCTCTGCCTTTTTTGGTGGAACCTTTCTTTTGGTTCTTGTTTTCTTAGAATTCCTCATAGTCTTTTTCCAGTTGTCTTCTCAAGGGTTTCGTAAAGTGGCCTCTTCGCCTTCTTTTAACCAATCCAATTCTGTCTTGCATTTGACTTTGGTGGGTTGTTTACCCTTTTTTATACTCTTAAAGAAGGTTTCTAATTGCTATCGATAATCATCGATTAGAGATCGAAAGTTGTGAGTTAGACTCATTTCTTCATGCACGCTGGTATTTTAGGGGTCCCAGGAGTGGGAATTTCCTTCTTGGGTGTCTTGGGAGGGACGCAATGTCATCTTGCAGTTTCTTCTTCTGTTTCTTTGCCTTGCGTTTGAGTAAATTTTCCACAATTTTTCCTGTCGTGGCACTTTCTTCAGACTCTACATCTGCCAAATCGGCCGTGGGTACACTTGGAATATCTCTTAAGAGTTTCGTCAATCATCTACGTTCTTGTAACAATCCTCTAGTCTGTTGATTTGCTATAGCATCCGGCACCTTTGGATTGTTTACAATAATATGCTCTTTGGCAGCAACACGACCTTCTTTGTTTAGTAAGGCACTGTCCGTAATTTGTCCTTTGTAATATTGAACGAGTTGTTGAAATTCTTCGGGCTTCACCATGAGGTATTCTTCAGCCATCTACGACGTCGCATGGTTCTTGGTTCGTTTCAGTATACCTCTCCTTCTTATCCAAGTGTGTACTGAAAATTATACTTTCCTAACACAAAGTGTAAGGACTAAAGGATATAAGGACTAGGAGTCATCATGGCTAATCATCTAGTCATCTAAGGATATAAAGGATATAAAGACTAGGAGTCATCATGGTGACCGGTCGAGCACTGCCGAGCTCGCCGAAATATTTTGTGTTCTCGCTCATAGCGGCTTTAATGATACGGGAGAAAGTCGAAAAACAACTCCTATACGGATCAGCTCATTTGGGAAAAAACGAGGAAGGACAAGAACGTCTGGCCGCTTTAATACCACTGAAGATGAGCTTGAGCTTGAGAACTCGAGCGGGTTGCGGCAAAATGTATTTATCGTTCAGAATTCCATATACAGCGAAGGATACGAGGACCCTACAGCTTAGCCGAATTGTCTTAGGTGGCGATGTACATACAAATCCAGGGCCTTCAAGTATCGTATCGTGTGGACAAGATCTTTGAACACTTACTCAGAAAACAAGTGACCAGACATTATGACCCTGCTCTGTACCACAGGATGACAGCTTATAGAAAACAACACAGCTGTGAGACAACCCTGCTGATGTTGATTGAAGACTGGAGGTCTGCAGTGGACAGAAAAGAGCTGGTAACAATATTATCTGCTGACATGAGTAAAGCATTTGACTCGTTAAGCTATTCACTCACTCTAAAAAAGCTGGATGCCTACGGTTTTAATAGCAGTTCACTTGAACTGATTAGATCATTTTTTGATAGCAGGCTAAACAGAGTAAAAATAAATGGCCACACGAGTGAATGGAGAATTATGGAACGTGGTTGTCCTCAGGGATCGTCATTTGGCCCTCTCCTCTGGAACATGTTCCAAAATGATATGGCATTTCATATCCCTGACTCAAACCTTACGCTCTATGCTGATGACCACCAATTACATGTGACAGGAAAAACCTATGAAGAAGTCGAATCTACTCTAGTGACTCAGGGTCAACAAGCACTGTTATAGTATAGGGACAACTTCCTCTTGGCAAATCCAGATAAGTTTCAGTCTCTTACGATTAACCCAAGAAACATAGATGCAGATAAGAAGGGCAGCGTTCTCACCATCGCCAATGACAAGATCATGAAAACTGAACAAATCAAGCTATTAGGAGTAAATATAGACAAGAACCTTAACTTTACACAACACATTAGCGAAATATGCACTAAAGCCAGCCAGAAAGTAGGAGTCCTCATGCGCTTGCGCAACCTAATACCATGCCAAGCGAAGCTCATACTGTATAAAACAGCTATAATGCCACATTTAACATACTGTCATTTAGTCTGGAACTTTTGTAAATCTTCAGATGGGCGAAAAATCGAACGCATCCAAGAGCGAGCCCTGCGTGCGGTCTTCAAAACAACAACAGAGACATATGAGGAACTTCTTAAGCGTGCTAAGTTACCTACGCTTCTTAATAGACGCTTACAGGACATAGCAATACTAATGTATAAAGTAAAGAACGATCTAGTACCCAGCTACATATCTGAGATATTTACTTGAAAGGGTACTCGTTATAACCTTAGGAATAGTGACTTTGAAATACCACGATTTAACACTATACGCTATGGTAAGCACACACTTAGGTATCAAGGACCATATATCTGGTCCAAATTAGAAAATGGTATGCGTGAACTACCAAGCCTTAGCATCTTTAAAACTAGAATCCGTAGAGTTGACCTGGTCAGCCTAGTGGAAGACAGTGGCAACTGCTGCAATCTTTGCAGCACGTGATTTTTTTTAATTATCTGCATGGTACAAGTATTTTTATGTTATCTGAACATTGTTAATATTTCTAAATATTTTTAAATTTTAATGCATAGTTTATCGGCTATATTGTTACTTATTATGATACTGTACATAGTTTTTTATTGATTTAGTAATAGTAGGTGTCCCCAATTAGCTCTATGAGCTAAATACATTGACACGGTAATAAAGATTTTATTATTATTATTATTATTATTAAGGTTAATTGTACAAGTAATTTAACATACCTAGAAAGAAGCTCTGAACTGGACATATGGTATGATGTAATATTTCATACCCAAAGAAGTTACTTATGACAATGTATTTGACAAATTGCATTATATGACGTGTCGAATATAGGGTGGTATAATGAGGCAGTATACACTAAGTATATGGAACGATATATTGATGTATAACGCTTTGGATGGTTAAGGATATACTTGACATACTTGTCCTTATCCTTGCGTGTAATGAAAATTATACTTGACCATACACAACGTGAAAGGTTTGTTGTACAAGTAATTTCACGAATTTAGGAAGCTCTCAACACGATACATTTGGTATGACATAAGATCTTAAAACCCATAGACATTACTTTGGGCAGTATATATTTCAAACTGGCCATAATCTCCACCTGTTGACTGTTTTTTCTTCTGTGTATGTGTTGGTTAAACATTCCAGTAACTCATGCAAATTATGGCTGTTTGGTCACTTGGTTCATTCTGTCCACTTCATTTATTTCAGCCATTTGGATTATCTTTGTTGGTTAGGTCATTGGTCTATTTAGACCATTTAGGTACTTTGTATCGGCTGGGCTATTTGTGCTATTCATGCTGGTTGGAATATTTGAGCCAAATAGGTCATTTGTTACTTCAAATAGGTCATTTGGACTACTGGATGCTAATTTACATCACTTGACTCCCTTTTACCTGTTTGATCATTTGTGCCAAATGGCTCCATTATGTTGATTGGGTCATTTGCTCCAGTTTATCTCTTGAGCACATGTATCATTTACGTCTGCCAGAGTTTGAGGCAATTTAGAAGTGGGTATAATTAAACTATTTGAGAATATCCAAGATTGCATGGCTATTGACAGTTAGGTATTTTTATGATTGCCTCATTTGTCTGATCACATGTACCAGACGACAAATATGAGTAAATACCTTGCGATAACCAAAAAAATGCATTATTGTCCTTAATACCTGGACATGCATCTAACAATAAACAACCAATGACAATGAGTTAATACAAATTGTTGGGCTATGACCAAAGCCAGTCAGATGTATTCTTTCATTAAACAACCACGATGGACCCCTTAAATTTAAGGACCTATAATCTGAAAATGTGCAATTAGACACTGGACGATGGAAGGCGTATCCTACACTCGCTGACTTGTCAGACCTACAAAGTGAAAACTTAAGATTTCAACCCTTTGAGCCCAATAGTCTACACCTACTGATTATAGACTGATATTTTGAAGAGAAAGTCGAAGCTAATCACTCATTGGGCTTCAATTATACTGAAACAGTCAATCATCGAGGAAAAAGGTCTTACCCTATATGTACGTGCAAAGTTTAAGACCAGGGTATCAAATGAGAAGTTCCCAAAAATAGAAAAGAATATCTTTAAACATGCAATTTAACATCAAATGGAACAGTTACAATGACTTTCTCGTTACCATTTGGAGTTTTAAGATCAAAGT